TCATCGCTTCCAATCTCTTCAACCACTATATCATCATCCTCATCTTGGTCATCATCATCACTGTCGTCAGTCTCGTAAAATCTATTGTTTAGTAGGCTGTTGAGTTGGCAAAAGTGACCAAGCAATATCCATTGTCACAGCATCCACTTTTTCGGGGTTTTTTTTGCTCCCCTGGAGATTTTAATCGCTTGTTTTCTATATACACGTCGAGTACTGACGCCTTTATTTTTTCAGACCTCTATCCCTGTATAAACCTTCCAATTAAAGTCATTGAAACATTTCTTCTTTTCTTCCTTCCTTGTAAGTTCTCTGGTCTCTGCCCTCTTTTTTTTCCTTTGCTCCAGATGATGAAGATGTTCTAAGTATTGTGCTACTAGCTGTTTTTCAACCACGTACTTCTCAAACCACATGACTCACACTCTATCAAACAGAACTTAGAAAATATAAAAAGTATCAAAGAATCACTAACTACTCTTAAGAACGTCCTCAAAGAACATTTACGAAGTACCATTCACTCGTCGGGTAGAATTCTGACAGGACAAAAAACTGCACACGGCTTTGATGAACGGATCATTACATCCTCAAAAACTTTGCAAGAAGAAATGAGTTTGTTACAAAACCGACTTATCAAGCTCTTGGATGATTGCACATCGGCATTTCGTTTCAACATCTTCGCAATGAAGAGAAAATCGCGAGCACAAAAACAGAACAATCGAGAAGAAGAAAAAAAGAAAAAAGGAACACAGCTAGAAAAAATGCTAGAACTGTGCAAATACTTAAGAAAATAGCCCCATCAGTTCAAGGAGACGATGTTTKTAYTCATCAAGATTTGCAGGATCCAATTATCATGAAACTTGGTAAAAGAGAGAGAAAATGGGCAGTAGCCCTTATATCTAAATCATCACCTCACCTGGATGAAAGAGCAAAACAACATTTACGCATGCTGTTGAATCAAGATATAAATGTTGAAAAAACTATGTAGATAATGAGCAAGGGTTAGTTATGATAATTATGATGATAATAATGATGATAGTGATGATGATGGTGATGATGATGATGTTGATGATGACGACGACGATGATGGTGATGATGTCAGCATTGATGATGAGAGCAATTTATAATGATAATAATAATGAATAGAGGATATTACATGGGCGCGCGGAGATACGAAATTTATCTTCGAGTGTTGAAAAGATCTCTCACAAGTGAGCGCAGCGAACGAGTGAGAGATTTTCAACACGAGAAGATAAATTGCGTATCTTCAAGCGCCCATGTAATATTTTGTTTATTATATAATTATCAATGAAGTATGTTTTGGCCTTTTCAGGCAATTCTTTTCGTGTATTTTTGAATAGCCATCGCAATGGTGTTATTTTCACACGTGAAAATAACATGTTATTTTCACGTGTGAAGATATCAATTTTTCGAAATAGAGAAATATATATATTTCATAGTTAATTATATAATAAAGACAATTTACACGTGTCAATATTTATACCGATTTAAAAAATAGTTATGGTAATTATGATAATGTTGTACGTGATGATGATGATGTTGATTACAATAATCCTGATAATCAAGGCGAAGAATGTGGATTTAGATGCTCATTTTAATAGATGGTCATGATAGTGTTGA